GCCTGGAGGAGGAAACTGTAGTACTCTGAGAGAACCCACAACCTGATAACATGCTGACTCCACTCTGAAGGGCCTGTGGTCAGAACCCAATTACTACGGCTGTGACGCACAAGTCCTACCCATCAGAACATTAGTCAATGACACGGCTCCATTTGCTGTGGACTTAACGTGATTTGAAGAATTATGATGTGGTGATTGAGAATCTGCACCAGAGTCTCTGAACAGACAGGGAGATGGTGCTTTCTATCTTTGAGCTGAATCTGGATGGTTTTGTTGTTGGTCATTGGTTGATGTCCTTTTACTGTCACTGACTGCAGGTCTCACAGTCTGTTGAAGCTGCTGCATTGGTAAAGCAGTCACAGTGTGAGCAGTTTGTTATCCCCTCCATCCTTGTTCTATCTAAAAGCCTCTGTCTCAATGTATAACTCATCGCCCAGTCTTCCATGAAGTGTCACAAGCACGCTCATCTGTAACACTCTGGACATTGAAGGTCTGAGGAACGGGCGTGTGGTGATAAAAAAAAAAAAAAAAAAAAGGAAATTGAGGAAAGGACTGAGATAGGAGAAAGTAACGGTGACAGACTAAGGCCAGGAAATAAAGAGCTGGTAGAAGGGAGAGACACGGCGGAGTAAATGTCCTGACCATTCCCTGCAGCTGTGCTGCGCCTAAATTTAGCTTTTCACTGATAAACGTAAGTGAAGTGAATGTGACAGAACATATCAGTAGGAGAGAAAAAAAAAGAAAAGAACCTCACTCTCTGAAGCTGCAGTCAGTGTTGAGGTTAAATGTGGCAGTTCCATCTTCAGCTGCCATGAAACACACGCTGTACACAGTACAAATATTTCATCCCTCAGAGGTCAGTTCATTTAATGACCCTTTGCTCTGCATGGGAGAAACTATGGCAGCTGCTGGATTATTGACATAGACAGATGCCATAGACTCTCTCATGAACTGTGATGGCATTAAATCCTTTATTAATAATAAATTACTTAATTCACTTAAGCTAATTAATTTACTTAATTAACAATATATTTTTTCCTTAATTTCCCAAAGGGATCTCCCGAGGGATTAAAAAAGTTATCTATCTATCTATCGAGTAAAAAATCTATCTATCTATCGACCGATCGATCGATTGATTGCTCAATCTATGGTTATAGTCACAGCAGGTCATAGAGTTGTAAAGAAGTGGTCATCTAATAAATTATCGTCAAAGAACAGTTTACACCCACCAATGTCTGAACAGACGACTTCTTTTCCAGACATCTGGAGCTTTGATTGATAATTAACCTTGATTTTTGCAGCAGCAAATACTGAATCTAAATGTTTTAAAAAGCTACGGAGGAACTCACAGTTAAAAAAAAAAACAAGATTATTTTCTTACGTTGGTAGGAAGTCAGTGAAAGCGTATTCACTTATTTGCATGCTTTCCACACATTCCATATTTTATTTAGACCTCATTTAGATGTGCAAATTGGTCCTTTGAAGTGCAGAGGGCAAATTGGTTGGAGGCTGAGGAGGGGAGAGTCTGATAAGGAGGGGCGGGGGTCCTGAAGCCCGTGAGCAAAGCTAAGGCTAAGTAAAGGAAAAAAGAGAAGAGATAAAGGAGAAAGGAATCCCTCCTCCTCCTCCTTCTGCTCCTCCTCTTCTTGTTCATCCTCCTCCTTGTATTCATGCAGCGCTCCATCAGGGAATCTCCTGTCCTTTCTGTGAAACTGCACATCCACAGGCCGTGCTGCAGCATTGGTTTAGGAGATTGTGCTTCTCTGCTCCATCTTCTTCCTCCTCTCTTCCCACCTGTCCTAAAGTCCACATTGACCTTTAATTGGAGAGTGAAAGTTTGGTGAATTTCTGCCTTTTTCTTGTTGTTGTTGTTTTGTGGGTTAAGCAGATATTGCAACAAAACCTTCCACGTCAATACACCATTCACCAACACGAGCCTTATTTTATTACACTGGCGGAGGGTTGTATTTTCTGTCTAACCACCTGGAGGTGGGGGGTACTTACCTTAAGTGACTTTTTGCAGCTTGGAGTATCTGCATAATAGACAGCAAATTGCTGCAGTGGCTTTGTTGGTGCACAGTGAAGAAACATGAGCACTGCAGAACTGTAAATGAACAGCGCCTTCTCTGCTTGATGGAGGAGTGTAGTTCTGGAAGCCTTTTAAAATGTATTTTAGGTAATTACATTTGTTTTAAAAAATGCCTTTTATCTTTTTTCTTTTATCGTTTTATTTGGTGGAACACTGGAGTCCGAAGTAGTGGAATTCTCACTTTGGACTCTGAATGACTTTAATGTGATTCCTGCTTTTTATTCTTCAGTCTTTTCTCCCTGCCTTAAATTTTGTCTCATTTTCTCTTCCCTCTTTGTTTTTTTCTCCATTTCGGGGGGAAATCTGAGTTCCCCCCAGCTATTGGTTATTACGACTGTAAATGCTTCCTCAAGTCATTGAGTATGACAGCCCCCACAAAGTAACTCTTTAATCCTAATTTAAAATGATGCAGTGTGTGCATATGTTTGGATCAGTCTTTTGTTTTCATTTCCTCCCATCAAATTAATTTAGACAGTGTTTAATAGAATACAGAGTAACAGAGGCAAATGTTGTTCTTCTTTAAAAAATATTTTATAAATATTATAAATATTTTCTGCCTCTGCTTTCTTCAACAGTTGAAGCATTGTTTCTATGAGATGAACCTGTATGGTCAGCAGCTTTGTGGAAACAGCCTGAAGTAGGACACTCTCTCTGTCCAAAATGTCCTGTCCTCAGCTCAGGACTACATTAGGACTACTTTTGGAACTCACTGATGCTTAACACAATTTGCCTTAGCATCAAGGAGTGGCTGTGCACTAGTTTCATACAGAGAGAGTGAAAACATTTGATGATCAATGGCAGGGACAAAAACATTGATCGCAATTTCTCTGTGAAAATATAACTCTGTACGACTTGAACTCATACACTGTAGGTCTGAGGATTTACTCTACCGTTTTTTTCTCTTTTGCGTTTTAACTGCATAAAGCTTCACTTCAGCATCATCATTTTCCTCGTTCCTGATTGGGTTCTGCCTCCCTGGTCTCGGTGGCATATAAAACTGTCCATGCTCCACCATTAGAGTGGCTGGGTTGACCCCGTGGCATAAAATTAAGAAGGTTAGGCCTGTTGAGCTGCCTGGCTGATACAGGCGGAGGGTAATAAATCCACAGAGAAAGAGGGAGGCAGGGATGAGTTGGGGGGAGGTTCAGAAGAAGGGAGGGGATGGATGTGGCAGTCTATGCTGCCTCAGGGACACTCAGAATCCCTTTATAAGCCTGGGTTATTTTCACCCTCTTACTTCAATAGCCCGTCTCCACACTGAGCCGCGGCATTAACATGCACCCACAATCCCTCACGGACTGTGTGCTGCTTCCCAGTTACCTCCTGCTGTAGTGGCACACTGTATGGGCATAGTTTTTAAATGTACATCTAACCCAGACATGTTTATAGTTAACAAAACCTCTGACAAATGAGTCTGTTACTGTACGCTTTTAACAAATATATTTCAGGCAGAAGCAGAAGAGAATTTAATCCAGTGATTAATCACTTATTGAACCCTGAGTCTCTACAGCAGCCGTGGTAATTGTCTGTATTTATGTAGCAATATTTTAAGCCTTGACGGCCACTCAGGGGCTACAGAGCTCAGCCTGGCCACTCGACCATTCAGATACAGTGAATCTGTTTGTGGAGACGTTTCTGTTTGACATCCTTTGCACCAATTCACAAAGTATTGACAGAGCTGCCTGGACTGGGTCTGACCCAGTGATTGTCTTTGGCACAAAGACCAGAGGAGGCAGTATCCTGCCAACGCAATGTCTATTTAGTCTGTCCAGGCTTGGCCACACCAACAACACGTCGTAGTGTCATTATTGGTACCCAGTTACCATGTTGACAATCAATTATTTTGATTCCACCCTATTTTGGCAGCAGCACTAATGGGCAAAAAACTGTATCCCACGACGCCAAAAAAGAAAATTCACAAAAAAAGTTTGTGTTCTTCCTTTGATTTAAAACGTTTTATCATGATTGTAATGTCGGTTCTGAAATAAAAAGGAAATTAGGTTAAATATTAAAGCACAGAAAGATCACAACAAAAAGATTTGGGTATGCATTGAAGTATTTTCAAATATACTTCAACTTTGAGCTTCTAGAGAACACCATAAATATATCATTTTCTTCGAGCACAAGGCAGGGTCACAGTAATTACTGGAACAAAAGCTGAAGGCCGTGGACAAACTCTGAACATTTAAACCATGGTGTTTGTTTAAGGTTGATAAGAGTAACCCCACGTCAGTTATAAACTTGTGTGAAATGTTATTAAATGCTTTTTAAATTAATGCTGTGGTTCCTTTTATTTCTAAGGCTGTGTTTGTTTCTGTGCATTGATCTGAAGGACTTTAGCAGGAAACAGTAAACAGGCTTAGTGAGAGATAAATCACACAACTGGCAGCAGATGCCTGCACAGTCATGCACTCATGCACACACACACACACACACACACACACACAAGTGAGTGTGTTAATGACGGCTGGTCATAATCCTCTAAGTGATCACTTTCTGCTTATGTCCATGCACCAAACAATTAGGACAAACCCTGAAATGAGGGGCGATCAATTGGAAAGAAACTCAAGCTGAATGTCATTCAGTTAATCACTATTAATATTGTTTCTGTAATAAATCGACATTAGCCTTGAAGAGTTGGGCTGAAGACAGAATTAATTTAACCACAGATCCAAGATGTAAACCCAAAGTGTATTCATCGTCAACTTCTTTATTTCATTTGGAAGAGTGTGTATTAATTAACATTCAGGTCATTGAAACACAGCAACTCGACTTCAGTGAAATTCTCAGTTTGGACTCTGAACTATTGTATGACTTTAATGTGATTCCTGCTTTTTATTCTTCAGTCTTTTCTCCCTGCCTTAAATTTTGTCTCATTTTCTCTTCCCTCTTTGTTTTTTTCTTTCTGCAGGGTTTTGAGAACACAGTCTCTCGAATGGTATTATAACAATGTGAAGAGTCGGTTCAAGAGGTTTGGCAGCGCCAAGGTTTTAAAAACTCTGTACAGAAAGCACATCATTGAGAGAGGTGCGCTCTCTGATCTCCCAGGTAATTTCATCCTCTTTTTCTACTTTTGTTTTAATCAGTGCACTTAACCTGTGAGTGTTCGCTGGTTTTTTTTCTGTGCATCAGCAGCAGCAGCCACCACACAAACCAAGGGACAGTTAGGTTGGTTTTTTTCTACTGATTATTCAGCAAACAATTTAAAGTAATCTTGTCAGTGGGTTCCCCAGCCAAATACCTACTGACAAGTTGACTTGATTGCTTATCTCTTGGCATTGTTAAATAATCAGTCACTTTGTTTCCCACGCTGTGTTTTGTGAAATTTTCTGCAGCTTACTTTTAAACTTACTTTTTTTACATATTCTGAACACACGCTCATTTCAGGGCCTAAGAACAAGTAATTTACTGTCTTTGCATTTAATGTGTACTCTGTTCTCAAATGTCACAAGAATACAAACTTTGTTCAGTAAAACCAAGATATAGATAGTCCTTAAAATGTCTAAATGCAACATAAACAAATGCCCAATAATAATCTGTCGTCACCGCTTCCTACTTTATGTTTATACTAGTGTTGGGCTTCAGACCAACTAGGCCAAAGCAGTCTCGCCAACAAACTGCCATTGTTATTCATATCAATGTAGTAGATAATGTAGTAAATAACATTTAAAACAGAAATGTTCTTCTCACCTTTAATCATTTTTACATCTCAATCGTAGCCGTTTTGGCTTCGTACTTGTACATGTGACATTAGCGGTGTGCTGACAGACCATGTGAGTGACCTGCCCCCTCCACACACTCTTGGCAGAGGCAGTACAGTGTCCTGTTGTGTAAATTATCCCTGTGCTGCACACCAACCTCCAGCTCCAGATAATATTGTTTTGACCCGACCGCAGCAGCAGCAGCATCAGTCTGCCATCGTAGATGAAGAGGGGAAGTCAGAAGGGAAGCTGGAGACTGTGATCAGAGGAGAGACTGAAAAACCTCCTTCTCTGTAAATATAGATTAATAGGGTTACCTGAATTCCACTACACTGAAAATGTATCTTGATATACTGGAATAACCGCTAAATAGTCGGAGGAGAGGAGGAGCGCGTTGGCTGTGTTATATAATTTCTGTTAATTATTTTTAGAATCATTAAAAGCCAACATTCAGGTCAAGGTCTCCGTAAACCTGAATCGAAGCATCATTTGGTCTTTCTTTATATTTAAAACTTGGATATTATTCAATAATTTTTAATTATTTTTCTTGGCATTTTGGTGTGTGTTCCGTTCCTGTTATGTTTGTTCGCTCTTTAATGTTTTCTAACCACTGTCTGGGAGGAGACAGGTTTACATTTGACTTACAGTTATTGATAACACACCAAGCAACAAGTAAAGCAGGGACCTAAATATTTCAGGGAAAACCCACAACAGTCCTGCTAGATATCAAGTGTGACTTTACCAGTGCTTCAGTGCAGATGAGTTTCCACTAAGAGAATTTTCCTTGTAAGATGTGTTTATTTTGATTTGTGTGCATGTTGTAACACAGTTACAGCGTCAGGATGTTTTTTTTCCTTTGGAAAACCTCACATTTATTGTCTTTGGATACAGTTTGTCTTTGATCTGTCACATATTTGGTTTGAATGATGTATTAGACAATTTAAAGTGAAATGCAAATATAGGCTGAGAAAAAACAATTCTACTGCTGGCAGTTGCAGTTTAATTGTGCTATATATTTTGTATATATATATATATATTTCTTTATATTGACACATTTTTTTCACAATATTGCACTTTCACCTTATCAAGTATTTCCAATGAAGAGAGATTTATTATGTTCTCCAGGAACTCCCTGAGTCTCTTGATATGCATCCGTCGTCTTCATTCATTTACAGAACGAACCACAGAAATGTGAACTACTCACATAAACCACTCCCCATAAATGTGAAATACAGGCTCTCGTTATACACACACAGTTGTAAAGAACGTTTATGTTTTTATTTATCACAGAGGTGGGGGCGGAGGGGGGTCACTGAAATCAACTCTATACGAGTGTGAAACGGCAACATGACGGTGGAAGATGTGACCGCTTTACATCTGTCCTGTCCCCTGAGGGAAAGTGTGACCTTTGGTCGACAGGACGACAATTTTCTTCATGTCCGTCATCTTTAGTGGAGAAGATAAATGTTTTTCGTGTCTCCTGTAACAAACACCATTCCTGGGAGAAAAGGAAGTGAGTGTGTTGCTGTTTGTGATCGATGTGGACCCCGGAGAGTTTGCAGATTAAACATGGATGAAGCGTCAGTGACTGTGTCCTGTAAAAGCAGGGCACAGTGAACAAATATTTATCAGTAAAAGGAGGATATGTTTTCTGTGTTTCTTCATTAACATTATGATTGAACCCATTTTTTTATAGCGACAGATTATCATGAGCAAATCTCCAGATGCTGAGGACAGATGCAGTACATTAGTATGCACTGACTTTGCAAAGCATAAAACAACAGTTCTGCTGCAGTTCTATTTACCCATGAATTATAACAATGGTGACACTGTGTTTTTCTGCACTCAATGTTGTAGCGATAAACCCTCCTTACACAAGGAGCACATGAGGCGAAACAAGTACATTATTAAATGTGACAGGAAATACTGGCCAATGAAACACAGACTAAAAAACAATCCTTTCAGAAAGAATAATAAGACAGAATGTCAGAAATACAAGCTCCCTTTTTTAGCCACATGTAAACAACGACTTTAGAGATTTTTGAAAGAAATATTTACATCTGTGGGGAATGTAAGGCAGCGGATGAAAGAGAACCAGAATGGAAACGGAGATCTGCATGAGAGACACGAGGAATGAAGGTCAGCTGGAATAACACCGACTACATGTGGGTGACTGTGAGTCATGCAGGTGGAAAGGTCGAGCGGTGGATGAGTTTACACACCTGTGGTCAGGCACCGAAAAAACAAAAATGGGAGAGAAAAGGTCAGACAGGGAGGAATGGGTGGAGGTGTGTGTCAGGGATGATGGTGTGACAGAAGAAGAGTGGGAAGAGTGACAAGGAATGTTTACTTGTGGTAGTGACACCTGCATGTGTTGTTTGGAGACAGTGGCACAGTTTGACAGACAGGAAGCTGAGCTGTGGCGTTGGTAAAGTGGAAGATCCTGAGATTTTCACCAGGAGTGACCAGGATGGACAGGATTAGGAATGAGCATGAGTGGGACAGAATGTGAAGTTGGTCCATTTGCAGAATCCATCCCTGCAATTATTGCTACAAATTTACATACATATATATACAAACCTCTGCCTGTTGGCCTGTTTAGTTGAACACAACTCTAGTATAGTCGCAGGAATTGAAGAAAAACACAAGGAAGATCTTCTGCGGCAGCTCTGAGTCACTTGCTATAGCCATCTGCTGCCACCCTTATGAAATATTTTAATTGTCATTGTCGCAGAGATGAACAGAGACAAAGTATTTGCAGTAGATTTTCAGACCAATGTAGAACAATTACATCTGATTATCTCTCAGAGCTCGCTAGTGTGCTGTGGCATAGTGGTTGGAAATCACTGGTGTTTTTTTGTTTTTTTTCTAATGTCATCTAGTGCCAATCCATTGTAATGACTTTTAAAAAGGTTTCTTCCTCACTGTGACCATCAAACACAATATTCCCCAGACAACATCAAAAGACAGAGTGCAGAAAATGTGTGAAGCATTTGAAAAGCTTTTTTAAGGACGGTTATTTTATCATCATTGCGACACAGGAACAGCTTTTGTCATTGTGACATTTATGCTGCTAGATAAAAACATAGCCACCCAAAAGATATGAAAGTAAATGTTTCTGTGACTGGAACAGCAAACTGAAGCAGGCATTCCCTTATAAAACTGAGTTTTCCAGTTACCATTTGTTGGGTACAAATGTGTGAAATGATAAACATGATTTAGTTACTGCTGTACGTCAGTTTACGCCAGAACAATGCAAATACTGACCTTCATTTCTGAAGGTGCGGAAACCATTGAATACATGTGACCTTTCATGGATTTGCTTCTATTGCACCAACCTCCCTAGTTAATGCCCCAGCACTTTCACAGCCAGGGGGTGCACTGTCACCTCTGGGATCACTGATGGTGCCTGTGCTATTTGAGCTGTGAGCTAAAAGGTGACTGGGTACGTTGCTGCGTCTGGAGGGTTTGGAGGGCAGAATGTTAAATTGGTGTCCCAGAGCAGCAGCGAAGGCTGTCAGCAGGTAAATGAAGTGACCTCGGTGCTTGAACCGTCTTGTTGTGGAGAACACGGACGACTCTGCTCCTCTGTTGGACACCGACAACGTCGCTTGAATTGCATGTGCACATGTTTGAGGACAAATGTGTGTGTGTGTGATCAGGAGAGTGTAGGACAAAGTCCAGCAGCAGTTCCTGTCATTGACGTCACAGTTCCCAGGGACAGTCGTTCCAGGCTGAATTTTACTGTGTGAAGTAATTATTACTTTTTTTTCCAAAGGACTCAATTTTGAGAAGATTAAAAGGCTACATGTGCTTTCACCGCAGTAAGAAATTACATGGGGGATTATGCAAATGAGTGTTACTAAGTTCCGGTCTCAAGGTCTCGCTCGATGTCCTCTTTTCTAAAAATGTGCGAAATTGCCTGGAATTACTCATAAGTCCAGTATTAAAAAGGGTTGTTTGATAACGCAGTGAACTCTCAAATCTTTGGGTAGAAAGTTTTCACATTTTCACATTTATTCTTCATCCTCATCTCACTAGAACGATTTTGAGGCTAAAACAAAAACAGAGTACTTTCGTCAAGGTACTCTTGTGTCTGTATTATAAAGAAAAAAGTGTGTATTCATTATTTCCCACATTATCATCAACATTTAGATCTGTCAAACTCATTTTGGTTCAAGGGCCACATGCAGCCTGATTAGATGTTAAGTGGGCTGGACCAGTATCACATAATTAGTTATAAATACCAATAGGTCCATGTTTTTCCCTTTCCTTTTTTCATGCAAAAATGTACAACTATATTAGAAAATATTAATATTTAATGAAATATCTTTTTTTATCAAAACATCGTAAACATACACGTGCTTTTTTTTTTTTTACAAAATGTATCAGGCCGGTCAGATTGAGCCTAGTAGTGGGCCGTTTAGACATATCTCAAGTCCCAGCAGCAGGGGTAGAAGGAGGGGAAAGTAAAGTCCAGACGGTTTCTTTGTGATTACAATCAAGCATCTGGCAGTTTCAGAAACAACGGCTGAAGCAAAACATTTACATCACAACAAGCTGTGGGAAAGGTAATCAAACCAACCCTCGATGCACTTGTCTCTGTACATAGTGGGATGAACATTTTACTCCATGTGTGTCTGGTGGTCTGGACCCAACAAACAGCAGACCTTAAAAACATAAAGAACTGCTTGTATTCTGTGTGAAGGTTTGACCTTAAGCCCCGGGGCTTACATTTAAAATGCGGAAGAAGAAACACTAATTAGCACAAGTTTTCCGTACTTTACTGCACCAATCATTATGTTTCGGCTTATGTTTCCTCCGGGCCACCGTAGCTACTTTAAAGTCATACCTGAGCTTATCTCTCAGCAGCAGGAACCTGCTGAAATAGACCAAGAACAGATTCTGCAAAATGTGGGATTTTGTTCAGAGTGCGAGACATAAATCCATATAAGAATTTTATTAGCATATTATCTGGCACTTTTGACACTGGCTTACATCAGCATTCATCTGCCGTCTCTTGTTTGATGTCCTGTTTTGTTACATCAATCTAGGAACTGAAGCTTAACTATTAAGTTATTGCACCCCAAAGCAATTAGTCCGTAATAGAAAATGATAAATTACTGAATATTACAGGCGGGAAATGATAAACGTGCAGTTAGAAGTAGATAGAGATCCTCGGATACTCCAGTCTAAAATCATCATGTTAGATTGAACAGTATCTGCTAAGAACTGTCTAGAACAGGAGGAGGTGTAATTGAAAATGAGTAGGGGGTCACAGCTGCCACTGCCACCCATTCTTAAATGACGTTATCTGTTGTTAATAATAGCACTTATAAAAACTGTTTAAAATAAATCTTACCTATTACCTATTTATACTGTCATCTGGGAAAGCCTCGAAAATTGGTGTTTTCAAAGGCCAAATGTGGGGCGTTGCAGAACGTAAGTGGCCCCCAAACTAGGAATTTGATGGTGGATGACTATATATTCCTAGAATAAGTAACCTTTTACATCCTTAAAATGTATTTGGCTGTACTTCCACGCTGTCCCAGTGGCCAGCAGCCAAGAATGTTGAATTTCTTGGCATGATTTTCATGCAGACCAGAAGAAGGAGGAAAATGACTTGGCAAGTAGACAGAAGTTGATGACTTGACAAGCCACAGAATGCATTGTTCAATTGAATGTATCTTCAAATGACTTCTCTGTGAAACAGAACAAATGTGATAATGATCAAGGCACATAATATGGGCAAGGTACTTAACCCTTCGTTCTATCTCAAAGGCTCCACGGCAGTTGCTTCCAAACAAAACGAAACACACAAAATAAATGCAATTTTTGATCTGCTATTACTTATTGGTTCAAAGATTAGAGTTTTGTTTTTCTGTATTTATAACAATGCATTCATAACCACTAGTCTAAACAAAACAATACCTCTGTCATTTGACCGTCTGCATGTTTGTGTGACATTCGTCCTTTTGTGTCCAGAGCTGTTGCTGGTGATTTTCTCATCTATGGTATCTTTCCGCTCCGCCAGCAGCTATATTTCAGCTCTCGCCAAGTGAGAGATGAAAAGTTGGATTCTCCAAAAGAGGAACAACTTTGTGAGGGTGAGATTAGCAGAGCATGGAATTTGTTGGAGACCTGTTGTACCGTGCTATGACTGGTCGAATTGAGCTCATAAAATGGACCAGATATATAATGCACACTCCTCAAATTGGACTCTAGGGCTGTCACTTTTTCAGCCAAAGTTTATAAATCTGACCGACAACTGGAATCAAAGTTTACATTTTATAGGTTACATCTTTTTCTAAAACTCGCTGCACAATGTCAGCAGTAGTTACCAAGTGCTCCAGGAGAGGGCGATCTAAAAGTGATGCCATCTTCATCAAGGCACCTGAAGTTTATATTGTGACAACTGTGACAGACAAATATGACTGGTGAATATAATGGTTGTTTGATCTTTGGCTTTATATTAGAATATTGATCATGTTCCATAAAATGTCAGACTTCTGAAGAAGAGGTTTGCTGTAACTCTGAAGGTCTGAGTATTACACTGCATGTACATGTACTTCTCAGTGTTACACTGAATCCTTCAGCTTCTCAGGATCTCAGTTAGTATCTTTCCTGAGTCTTGAATATTCTATGGGTTTGTTAGTGGTTTTGGGCAATGATCAAATCCCTAATGACTTAGAGCTGCAGTAACTAAAGCCTGGAGTTCTCTCTCCATCACACACTGCCTTTTTTTCTGGGTGATTTTAGTTTAATACTGATGAGAAATCAAAATTGAAGACTTGAGTCTTCTATACAAAAAAAAAAAAACCCAAAATGTGACAACTGGTAATTTTGGTCTAAGTGAAGCAAACAAATATTTTACATGTCCCACCATTTATTTCAACATCCCCATTTCTGTCAAAAAAAAGGGAAAGAAAATTCAATCTTCTTCGATCTTTTGTTTTGCCAGAGTTTGTGTTTTTTTCAAGCTTTAATTTCCTCAAACCCTCTGGGGAACGTTTTAGTTTATTGTGTTATTTGCAAAATGCATGTTTTTACACTTGACTGAGATTCCAATTTTGCAGCCAATAGCAACATTGTGGTGTGGAGAATTGTTCTGCTCTGTTTCAGTTTGCTATGGCAGAAATCACCGAGTGGCTGCTCCTCGCACCAGTCAGCTCTCTCTGTCTCTGTGTGTTTGGTCAGAGACTCCATCCTGTCCTACAGGAGCAGCAACTGGACACTGTTGAGTAGATTAACGTGGAGACAAGGAGACGGGCCAGGGATGGAAGTGACCGAGTTCGGTTGCGCTTCTGCTCTGACAGAGGCACTGGTCCGAGACCTTGGAGAGGGCTGGGTTCTGTTTTGACTCTGGTTCCTGAATGGCAATGAGCTGTAGCTAGAGCAGAGGTGGAAATTGAGACAAGGTGCCCTTGTGTCTTGTCTGCTTCCATGTTTGGGAATGATGTTTGGATAAAATAAAAAAAAACAGGAACAGGGTCAGTCAGAGGGCTGAGTGGACTTGTTTCTCTTTCCCCTTTTTTTCAATATCCTACCTCAGCACTTTGACAACTCTCTCTCCTGTAGTTCTCATGTTTGTATTCTTATTAGGCTGCTTCCCTATGTCCAATCACTTACATTTTTACAGCTGGACTGATGACATGGCCACAATAAATGTGGCACCATGGGAGAGATATAGTACAAGAGTTAATGAGCCTCTGAGGGGAAATGTGTTTTTTAAGGTAAAGATGTAACCACTGCAGCGTCTGTGGTCTGTGCTGCCTGCTGTCCAGGAATTATAGTCACTCAATTTCCATTTCAACTCATAGGAATGTCTTTGCTCTCCATTAAGACATGAGAGCTGGTTCAAAAAATATATGTTTTTTAGAGCCTGAGCCCAAAGGAAAAGGTTTCCTTTATTTTAATCATATTCCAAAAAAAAAAAAGCTGGACTCTACATCCATGTCATGTGCTGCCATAAAAGTCAATCACAACACAATGGTGAGACATTTGGTCTCAAAGGTCTGATGTCTCAGCATATGAGCTGAGATGTTACAGCATCTTTTTTTTAGTTTAAGTGATTTAAAATTCTTACCCTTAGAGAAGACAATTTAGATTGCTGTAGATATATTGTAGATATATTTTTTACAATTTATTACCTTTACATTCCCACTTTTTATATCATTTTTTAAGATCAGCATTAAATATATATGTAACTGATATAGTGCAAGTGCTGCAGGTTAAAGCCAATGTCTCTGTCACAAAGTACTTGATACAGAGTAAAAACCTGTTTTGTTTTGTTACTTTTTTTCCAGAAAGCAGTGTTCACGAAGGAAGCATCTGCAACGACAACGATGGCAGCATCTGTGGCAGTGACTCCGCCTTCTACAGACAGAGTGAAGGTGAGAGAAGGCCAACATTTTCACATAAAATAATTATTAACTAATATGATAAACATAGCAAATGTTACATCGGTACTAGTCAAAGATGAAGACAAGCATGTCAAAAAGCTAGGGATTTGACTCAAATGTAGCAAATACAGCTAATCGTTAAGGGTTCGTCATAGAATGAAAAGTTACTAAATGCCAGCTTTAGAATCAGAAACTTGAGAAATCTAAAAATTTAATCTATCTCAGAAATACCCCACCCAGATTTATTAAATCAAATGAACCCCAAAATGCCTAAATGTCAGACCTAAAATATGAAAATTAGTAAATAAACCCCTGAATAAACAGCAACTAAATGCTATCAACCCATATTTAATTAGAGACTAAACTATACATTTAAAATAAATAAATAAACAAATACATAATATAAATAATATAAATAAATATAAATAAATAAATATATATTTTTTTTATCAATTTCCATCTATTCTGGGTGTTTTTTTAAAGGTTGATGGACTAAACTATACATTTAAAATACATAAATAAATAAATACATAAACAAGTAAATAAACAAGTAAATAAACAAACAAAAAAGTAAATAAATAAACAAACAAATAAACAAATAAATAATATATATAAATATGAATAAATAAATGTTTTTATCAATTTCCATCTATTCTGGGTGTTTTTTTTAAAGGTTGATGGTTTAGGGTTATTAGCCATTATGTGTTACTTCGGCAAATAGACATCATTCCATTAAGAGTGTGGGTGGAGAATCTCATCAGTGCTTCCCAACACTAAAGTAAATTACACACCTCCAGGGACAGCCTTTAACATTAAGGTGCAAAAATACACAAAACCATAAAAGCTCAGATGCACACAGACACACACACAGACACACACCTACTCATATCCTCCTACAATAGAGGGGCATTGTTTTGACACAAACAGTTCCATTAATGTGCCGGTAAATATGAGCTGTTTGTGCAGAGATCAACATCTGCCATTTTGATAATCGCAGCCTCCACAGAGGACCAACAACAAATTGTGTTTTCATCAGCTAGCTGTGTTTACATGAAACCTTTGTCCTTTAACTAATGGAGCCAGAGAAAAAAGATCATTTAAACCTGGTGCAGGTCAAGGCTGTCATTTTCAGAGGAGGGAATAGAAGATTGAATTGTGCGAGAGAATGGTCCCGCAGTTGACTGCTTCATATCAAGTGCAACAATCTACTTATATTACCTTAAGTCAGCTGAAATTTTTTTCTTTTAACAGTTTTGTCCCATTTTTTTGTCATTATAAAGCACATTTAGCAACTGTAAAATAAAGAGAAGCTTACCTTCCGTAACATTTACAGTATATACTTTACCTGATATACTGCAATTGAGAAAATGTTTATGTCCCTTGATTTATCGGAGACGGAGTGCTGAAAATGACTTACAGCATGTTAGGGGGATAAAGGATATAGAGATGATCGTTGTTGTAAATTGAAATTGGAGGACAGATGGAGGACATAGACTATAGTGAATCATGTAGAGCATGAAAATGACAGTGAGAAGATAAGGACAGATGTGATAAAAAATTACTGACTGAAAGAACAAACAGGAGTGATGTAGGGGGCAGTAGTAACTATATGAAGGTTGTTTGCAATATTCAGATTTGTTTTTATTTGTTTTGGTCAATATTCTGTCATTGTTTCTGATTCTAAAAAGCCAAGGATGATGAGCTGCTGAAAAGTTGAAGGTGCTGAGATGTTCATTGGGAGTGGACCAGCATGGACTGGACTAGAAATAAGCAGATCAGGTGGGACAGCTAAGAGATGATTAGTGAAAATGGATGAAGGGATGTTGGAGACAATGTTGCCAGACAACAGGAAATGAAAATGAGAAGATTAATGGATGTTTATAACAAGAACACGATTTGTGGAGACAATATTGGATCTAAGACAATCTGAAATAACTGAGGACATTTACACTAACAGATACAGCTCTAAGCCTCACATCAGTTTTATGTGGTCATTAACTATGCCGTAAGCCATGCTTCACATTCTGATCGGTCCACATTTATGCTGTTACGGTCGCATATTCACTCCTTTTGTCGCTGCCATGAGTAGATTCCATCAAGCCAAACTTCAATCATGTTCAATTCATCCTGGGGGAAACATATTGTGAATTGGCAGAACATGCACGTTGATGAACTCGTCAACTCACATCTATGAAAGTGTCCTTATGGCATCAGAGGAAAAGTCTGGGATCGTTAGAAATGAGTGATCTGCAGTCATCCTCGGGGTACAATGAAAATCTCTGTAAACTTTACTCGGAATGTGTCCAATGACTGTTAAAAAAAAAGGATTGGCCCACAGCAGCGATTTACTCCCATTTGGCAATATATACAGTCATATATTGCCAAATGGATTAAATGAAGCCTGTTGTCGTGTCTAGGAAAGTGTGCGTATGTGTGTGAGTGTGTGCATATGTCACAAATCTGTGGTGTGTGTGTGTTTGTGACAGGACACAGTATGGCAGAGACTCTCACAGTGGCCCTGCGTGTTGCTGAAGAGGCTATAGAGGAGGCCATCGCTAAAGCAGAGGAGTTCAGTGACAGCTTGGTGAGAATTCTTCTTTTTTGTCTAATCTGTCTTCATTCTCGGCCCCTCCCCAACCCTTTGTTTTTAATTTGTTTTCCTCCTTTTTTACACTGTGTTGTTAATGTCCAGTTGTATGCAGTTATGTTGATTATTTTGAATTGTATCTGTGTGTTTGTGTGTCTAGGAGAAGCAGAATGAAGCACGGTACTTGCGGGACCACAAAGAAGAACTCATAGAAGAACTTGCTACGACTATTGTCCAAAAAGTAGGTTGATAATTGTGACTATACTCAAGTCGAGTCTTTAGCTTTATTAAGGCACCTTACATCCTAGGTAAGTTAAATTTGTAACCCTAGGTATTTAAAAACAGCACCAAAACAAATAATTAAAAAAAAAACAGTTTTTAAAATAAATAATCGTTTAAATTATTTTATTCAAACCATTTTTAGTCAGAAAGCTGCTACTAGACATCAAAACACATATACTGCACATTCCACTTTCAACATCAGTGTCTGAGAAAATATTATTTAAACATTATTGGTGATTTGATTCATTAATAAAAATGTATTGATCTACCAAAAAGATGTGCCTGTGGCTTAATTTTATGCAGAAATCTGACTAAACACTGTATTAACAAGTTTAGAATTTCTACACTGTGTCTTGAAGTTGTGGATTTAACCTCAAGTTTTTCATCACGTGAAATAATGTTGCCTCAATATAAACATCATCGCTGTGTCACTTTAATGTCTCTGTCTTTGTCAGATCATTCAGCGGAGGAAACATTCGGAGATGCAAACAGAGTACGACTTTGCCTGGCCTCAACCTCAGTCTCTGATCCAGACCAGTGAACTCCCCTCACCTTCACAGCCCCATACTTCTTCTCAAGCCCCACAGGATCCCCTCAAAACCTCCTACTCCCTCTGGGTCAGTCCGCGTACTTTCACTCCGACTGATACGAGTCTGACACTAAATCTTACAACACACAATAACTGTCGACCAAACAAAATGAGGTCAAAACCAAACCTCTGTTAGTGGGTGCAAACTGCTGATGCCTGACCCTGAAAGGATTGGGTCTTTGATTGTGCAGCGTTTGTTTAAAGAAGGGTGGTTTGGTTTATTTTTCAAGCCTACACACTCTACATTCCTAACCTCCGTTTCACAGCACTGACATATAATGTTCCTCTGTCTTTGCGTATGTGTGTGTGTGTTTTGGTGTGTTTCCTCTGGGAAGATCAACCTTTTTCTTCATGTGTTTGCCAGGTTTGCAGAACACAGGAATCTTGTGGTCACCAGGAAATGACTTTTACTTATAAGAAGCAGCAGCCACATGTGTCGATGTGAGCCCACCTAATTATACGCTGGCCTCTTAATTGGCCCAGATGCTGTGGAGGTTTTATTGACAGCTAGGCTCATACGTCTGTCTGACTTGTAATTAGTCTTTGAGTGCAGCTGTAATGCTTCCTGGATTACGGTTCATTATTATCTTGTTGTTGCGCAGTTATGGAGATACATGAGGCAGTAAAGTAGACTGGTGGTTATGCAGCTAATAAAATGTTTCCACTGATTTAAACGTCACTTTAATGTAATATACTTTTCTGTCTTCTGCCTCTAGATGTCACTCTAACACCGGGTCGTCCAATTAATGCAAATCTAAAGCCATGTGACAAGAAATGTTAGCTGTGTTTGGTACTAAGCCAGGCTGTTAAGTGATTCTAGTCATGTTCTAAAAAACTTAATTTAATCTCAGGATCTCATCATTACCTGAATTTTAAAATATTGTATATAAATATAAAATAATATAAAATATTGTAAATATTGCACATCCACACACCAGTCCATGCATCTGTGTTGTTAGGACTTTGCAGTAACATCTCCAAATTTCAGAAATGGAAACTAAACACAGCCTTATCTCTCATTTGATTAGTGACTTAATAAGTTTAAAATGCACATTAACTAACTTCATTTAGAGCGTCAGTAAACAAAAATGATGTGGCTTTAAGTGGACCAATCACCAACAACTTGAAATTTATTAAAACGTATAAATGTGCAGAACCTGCTCGGTGGCTTATTTAGTTGTAGTCTACTGCCATCTGCTGGTAAAACTTAAAACTCTTCTGTGTTTTTATCATCAGTAAACCTCACTTTCTTCAGCACTGTGAAGTTAACCTGTCAGCAGCTGAGTCTGCATTTAAACTGTCTGTTTTTGTGTGTCTTTGTGTGTGTAGAGGTCACGCTCAGCATTTTCCCTCACTAGTGACGATTCCCCAGAGAAGGGTCCAGAGGAGGCGGGTGCAGGAGCAGGTGGAGACCTGCAGGAGTATTCGTCTCTGAAAAGGGAGGCTAAGGCCACGTCTCTGCCCAGCTGGAAGAGTGTCGATCGGCTGGACAACTCCAGTAAATACCACGGAGACTGTATTTAGGTTCTCATTTGATTTGTCCTGCTGCCGCAGACTGTCTGACTTTCAACTCTTCTTTGTACATAATCTTCCTCCAAAAGGTACATTTGGAAATCCATCAATCTGTTCCGTTCTTGTTTCAGGTGCGTCTTCGGTGCTTCAGAGTCCAGACGGTAACTGGATCGCTCTGCAAAGTTCTCAGTTGTCCCGGCCCAGTCTGCTGACAAAGAGAAAGAGTCTGGTGTTCAGTGTGTTGGAGAAGGAGTCAGGTGTGGTTTCGGCGTACGACGAGATGGGCTCTGACTCCGAGGAGGACGACCAGGGCGGCTGGGGCACGGCGTTGAGACAGTTCAGGCGCAAACTGTCTGACGAAACTTATTACACAGACTCACAGCACGACCCGGAGTGGACGTACACTCAGCACCTCCCTATTACCTCACCATCCTCTGGACAGTACACCAACACTGAGACTCTGAACTCAGACTCAGAAGCTTCATCTGTGCCACCGATGTATCCTCGTAAACCACCTCATAACGTGTTCAGGAAGAAAGGACTATCTGATACTCACCTGCATCCTCATCACCAGCCTCTGTACCACCAACACCTGCACCAGAACTTCTCACCATCACCTCTGCATTCAGAGACACTGGATGTGAACTTTAACCCAAAGGTGATTTAAGTTTCTAAGGATTGCTTTTTAGCAGGATCTTGCCTTCTGTGGATGTACACAGAATATGTAAATAACATAATATGCACTTAGTAACATCTAACCTCTTAATTTATGCCGCTGTTCTCAGGTGATGGCGGACAGCAGTGAGGCCGAGGAGAGGCAGAGCGACCCCATCAAGAGGTCACGACGACGCCGGAAGAGCAAAAGAGAATCCTCAACAGAGCAAAGCAAGTGTGGAGGCCAGGGCAGCACACAGTCTCTCTACCCCTTAGCACAGGCAAGTTATCGCAAAGACAACTTGTTATTGAATGATCTCTAGACAGAAACTGGGATGCATTGAACCAGAAAACAATTTTCTATATTTTGGGGTCCATTTTGCTGTTATGAGACCACGGGGTTGCATCCAGTACTAATGACCTTTAAAGTTTGACCTACTGTGGATTGAAAGATGCTCTTCTTACACCTTGGTGGTTAACAATGGTCAAGTGATTTACTGTTGACTTCCTGTCAGATTATAGCCAGTCTGAGTATTTCCTATCAGTGAGGTCTGTACCATTTTCTTCACCATTTTCTTTGGCTCTCCAAAAGCCAGTGTTCATCCTACAGTTCACAGTTCTACATTACAAATAAAAGAGATTCATTTATGTTTGTATGATTTTATGATGAATTATGTTTTAAAAATCTCCTAAATACTCAGAGGATACCTCTTTGTCTTATTCTACTTGTTAGTTTGACCTTCAGCTCATCATTCTGACATTGACACAGAAACTTCAACAGCTGTAACATGTTGTCCCTTTCATAACTGCAGGAAAACAGCGGTCTTCTGCTGAATGCTCTGTTGAAGAGAGGTGTAAGTCAGGATCAGTCTGTACCTGAAAAGATGCCGGTGGCTGCGGGAGAACCGCACACCTTCAGAGTGGATATCATCCCACCGGAGCCCAAAGAGTTGGAGACAGCGGCCCAGAATTCAGTGACCCTGACCCTCCCACCTCCGCCCTATCCTTTAGATTCAGCATCCCAGCAGCCTCTCCACTGTTTAGAGCCCGGAGACTTTCTGGAAGAGGAATTACAATCCACGCTCAGCCAGATGGTCAAACGTGCCAACAGCAAAGACAAGAGCTCAAGTGAAGACGATAATGAAAGTGACGGACGGAGAGAGAAGACAAGGCCGAAATACTTAGAACGACAGAGGTCATGTGACAGGTTAAAGGAGAAAGGGAGTGAAACGGCAGAGCAGGCAGATGAAAAAGGGCGAAGTGAGAGATTGATTCAAAGTCCCTCTGTGAGAGTGAGGAGGTTTGAAGACAGAGCCAGAAGTTTGGAAGAGACGGTGGATGACCAGGAGCCAACGAGAGGAGACAGAAGTGAGGGACACCGACTGAGTAAGAGACAACACAAAAGAGATGCGGTTAAAGACACTGGACGGAGGGGAGAGGGAGGAATGAGTGGCTCAAGTGCAACTTCACCTTCTACCCAGGAGGGGGTGCTGTCTGACAACCAGGTAAGGAGTGGAAACCTCAGCACCAGGTCTGACTTCACTTTTTTTGTTAATCAAACAGTTTTTGCTGCTTTGCTTCAGCTGAGCTGCCTCTCCGTCTGCATTCTGACTTAATTCAATGTTTTTGTTCTTGTCTTTCTCAAAGCCGTGCTTTTGTTAAACGTCCACTGTTGTATTTTGTCTTTCATCCTGTGCGTTTCCTCTTTGTGCTTCTATTCTTTTGCTGATGATGTGTGTGTGTGTGTGTGTGTGTGTGTCAGGAGACACAGAGTGACTTGGAGCAGCAGCAGAGGCTTCAGTCTCTGTCCTCTCTCTTACAGCAGGTGAGATTTGAGCCGAGGAGAAATGGGATTTGTTGATTTGTCGGGACATGTCCACATACATTTTACGTTTGAGTGCATTTTGATACTAAGTACACAGTTAAAAGCAAAGCATGTTGATGTTTTCACTGTTCTTTCCACTTCCACATGTCTATGTTGCTTTTTTTAAAAGAATAGTTTCTTTTATACAATTTATTTTGTATATTTTTCAAAAGCTGGTACAGATATATTTGCATTATTTTTTGCTTAACTCATCAAACATACAACATGTTTAATTTACTTTGACTCAATTGCTGAATTTATTTATTTTTATGTTTATTATTCACTCCAAAATCTGGCATCAATCTACGTCAACCTAAAATTTGTTTTGTATTTTTTGTAGGTGCTTTTTAAGAACATTTCCACATCCTTTACTTTTATTTTTAGTTGTCATTAGCTATTTAAATCGATTGCTTCAGTTAACATTTAGCTCTATCTGCACTGCCCTATCTGAGACTACTTCCTTCAGTTTTTTGTAACTTTTTACTATTTTTTACTATAATATATGTTGGTCAATTTTAGAAATTATTTTTGGGTTTCTGGTTATCTTTCAACTAATTTTCTTCACCTTTATTTTTAGGCTAAATTCTAGCTGTTTTGGACACACCGAGATAGTAACACCTAATTTTGTCCATATTGCTACATCAGTTTTGTAAAAGAAAATGTTTCTTTAACAGCTCACTCAAGACACACAAACACACTTGAAGTCTCTGCACTACTGTTAGATCCAAGGTGGCTCGGTGACTCATTAAATGCTCTCCTGTGTGTAGGGCTTGTCTCTTTCACTATGTGTGACACGGGGGTAGTGTGATTTACTTTCACCGGTTTTCACAGTTCCCTTGGAAACTCACTAAGGTGACTCATTTCAATGTGAATGGAAGAGCGAAGGGATAATGAATTATGAAAATGACGTCACGTGGCTTTTTTTTCAGGTTATTTCAGTTACAACAAAAAAAAATTACATTTCCTTTTCGTTGATGTCAAAAATGAATCGACTGTATAGCAAAAAAAACAAAAAAAAAAAAAACACGTGTGACCTTTAATTTTTGTATAACATAGTGGCTAAAAATAATCCTTTTCAGGAAGGATTTTGAGCCAATCGTGGAAGGTAGAGTACACCCCTCACTAGTCTGTCACAGGGTGATGGAGAGACAAACCACTATACACTCACACCTAGGGTAAATTTAGATATCTAGATATCCAAGATTGAAACAGTAAAAAATATATATATTATGGAAATTCAGTGTTGTCTTTGCAACTCACACGGGTTGCCACAGGAGGCACCACTAAGTATGTGGTTGTACAAACAAATCACCCATCTGACACTGGGCCCTAAATCAATAATTTATTGAAATTAACCCATCACAATCAATTCACCACATTCATCTGGAAAACAACCTGAAATGTACGTCATCTCTCTATGTAATTTTTTTATTGTTTTATTTATTTGTGCCGTCACAGATTAAAATCTGTGACTAATCCAAATGTTAACTTCACATAACCAATTACTCATCACTAGTGGGCAGCTTGATGGTGGATTGTAGGAGACATTGAGAGTTGCTTTCAAAACTTTTTTTGTTGTTCCCAACAATATTAATTAGTCCACAGCCAGTGGTACTTAAAATATCGTCCTGGGATCTTGAATCTTAAGTGAAACCAAAACCTTTTTCTTTTAGTGTGTGTAAATTTCAATGTGTGTCCACTTTGTATTTGAGCAAATTGGATGAACGAATGATTGGCCGTACAGTGTGCATCATTCTTCGTTAAATTTTTAACACTGATAAATTAAAAAACTTAATTAACATTATTAACGTATTTATTATTAATTCCTTAGCAGCAACAACATTGTGTCTGTGTTGGGTGTGAGTGTATGTGTGTCAGGGTGTTTGATCTGCAGGATGACAGGCTGTTCCTTTGGAGTGGATGAGACTCTCACCCAAGATCCATTTCTCCATCGACCAGCTGAGGTCAATACACCTCAGAACATCCATTTATGCTCTAAAAAAATAGCCTGTGTGTCCAGTCTTTACAAATGTCCACTTCGTCATCTAAGTGTTCCTGTCCTGACTTCCCGCTACAGCCACTGACTAACTCCAGACTGAGTTTTCAGTCTGTATAAACTAAAGGGATCAATACTCCTCTGATCAAAGCTGTTCACAGGTTTCTCTTCGCTAACACTCCTCTGACTGATCTGTTAGGATCTTTTTAGAGATGATACTTTTCTCATTAATGTACCCGTACTGACAGATGTGTTAAAAAAAACAAAAACATGATAGTTCAGTGTTACGAAACCAACATGTCATATATAACTGACAGATCTAGACTTTTGGAAACTTTTTTCCTTCCTTTTGACATCTTTCTCCTTTACTAAGTGTAAAATGTAAGTAAGTGTAAGTGTAAAAACAAATGTCAGCATTACATCTGCCAATCCTTCAGTTTTGCACAATTAAATGCAGGAAAACAGGGATATTTTTTTATTGAAAAGTAAACGTAAATAAGTCGTAATCCCAGTGATATGAGCGTTTACTGCTTTTATAAATTACAAAATGTTTAATATTATGTTATTAGGCTAGGTGATAAATAATTATTACTTCTTTTCCTTATCTTTGTTATTTGCTTGTTCAAGGTTGGCATATGCTTATTTTTGTCTGTAGAAATATACATTTAGCTTTAAATCTTAGTATTTTCTACATTGTTGAGATAGGAATGATGACAAGAATTACCTTCTTCATTCTTCAGTCTTTAAAAAAACATTTAAACTCCCTGTTTTTGTATAATTGTGTTGCATTTACACATCAATTAAGACATTTTTTCTTTCTTCTAAACTTTACAGTAACTGCTTTAGTGTTTATTCTCCTTCACTAATCATTCTACTGTACTGTATGTGCATGTGTGTGTTGTGAACTACAGCAGAAATACTCGGCAGCCTCTCTATGCAGCATCACTACAGAGGTACTGAAGGTTCTGAACGCAACAGAGGAGCTGATCGGTGAAGCAGGAGGAGACAGCTGCACGCCGTCCGAGGCCACGACCGTTTCTCCGATTTCTGCCACCAATGAGACCCGCAAACTGGACCAGAGACTGACCAAGATGGAGGAGAATGTAAGTTAGTGAGCAACTAAAATGGGGACGCTTTGGATAAAAGTATCTTCTAAGTGCATAAATGTAAATGTAAAAATGCTGAGTTGTTGCCGTTGTTTTTGTTGTTGTTCAGGTGTATCTTGCTGCTGGGACTGTGTATGGCCTCGAGGGGGCGCTTGGGCACTTGGAGCAGTGCGCTCGTAGTATAAGAAGTGGTACCACTGACACAGAGATGGCTTTTCTGGAAGACCAGGTGGCTACAGCTGCAGCACAGGTCCAGCAGTCTGAAATCCAGGTACTGAGAAAAAAGTAATTCCCTTAAGAAATCAAAGTTGAATTCTGAAATGTTTTAATGTGTTTTATAACCTGTATTATTCCTGACTAATCCACACAACAGAATTATTAATATGAAAAATTAAAAATATATATTTATTTTCCATATCCAGCTTTGATATTTATGATAGCCACTAAACACACACAATAATGGAGTGAATAATATTGCCCTTATACGCTTTATATACTCTTAAATGATGACATGATGTGGACAGTTGACGTAAACATCTTTCATCTTTACTAAGATCTCAAATATTGAGGCCAGGATATCAGCTCTGAAAACAGCTGGGTTGAATGTGACAGTCTGCAATCGCTTCTCCAAAAAGTCAAAGGTACGTTATGGTTTTTAAGCTACACACAGACTGAAACAAATTATTATTATTATTATTATTATTATTATTATTATTATTATTGTTGTTGTTGTTGTTGTTGTTGTTGTTGTTGTTGTTGTTATTATTATGTATTACCATGTCTGCAGTGAATAATACAGTTTCTCTAATCACAGCCTCAAACTCTGGATTCCTCACGTCATCAAAGACGGAAGCTTCCAGCACCTCCTCTGAAAGGTACCACAAAATGGCATAGTGCTCAGTCTATTCACACTGAGTACTTCATTATTATTATTATTTTCATGTTTTTGTTTCATATTTTTTCCGAAAATCTGATTCCATGTCATGTACATTGTGTGTGATGCTAATGATTCCCCAGACTGAGCAGAAGTGAAGTGAGTCTCACAACATGACACGTTTCCTCACCATCAGTGGACAACACATTTTGTGTTTTGTCCTGTGAGAGGGGTTGGCTGCTGAATGGAAGGAGTGGTGAATACAGCTGCTAAAAAGGAGACTGAAAAGCTCCATTAGATGTAAAGCAACCAAAATGGAAGCACAAACAGTGCAGGAAGAGCAGGCTGTTTTATCACCCAACAAGAAGTCGCTCCCTTTTCAGGCCAGTGAATGGCATTTTTTCTGTCTTTCTTTATTTTTCTTTTTGTCTTATTTTTCCTCCACCAGACTCCGCACAATACCTCTGATTCAGCGTGGCTTTTTGAGTAAGCTTCATGGCCACAAAGACGCCACACTGGAGAGCAGGACAAAAGCTGTGAACTAGACACGTTGTCCTATTGATTCCAGCTTAAAGCGTCCTTTTTATAATCCAATATATTATAAAATATGCTCTGCTATGAGTATGCTCTGAAATAAAAATTAAAACCCTGGAAAATGAGGATTTTGTTTGGACGTGTCTCGAACAAGCCAGACAGCATCGACTCAGTCTTCTACCAATGTTTTGCTTTATATTTCAGTTCTAAATACCCAATATTTTTGTTCTCAGAAACGTTGAAGGCAGAGCAGTAGCTCACAGTCAGTCGGCCATAGTGAAAGTTATCTGCACAACCAGTCCTGCAAGGTCCCTTCAGACCACCAGGGACAGGGGCCCTTCTCATCTAGTGCCTTGACCCACCGTTGGTCTCAGCTCCAAACCAAGCAGAACTCATCACCTGCCTGGTGTGACGCATGGAACACGCAGCCTCAAGACAGGCACTGTAGTACGTCAGAAAGACACCACTGTCACTCTCCTATTTTGCTTCTTTAGGTACTGTTTTCCCTGCAGTTTCTCAGTGGTTTCACAAGACCAGGAAAAGCACGGTTTGAGTTGACAGTCAGTATCTGCCTTAAAGATCCTACAAACACTCCCTGTGGTCCAGCTCCCACTTAATATATGTACAGGCGGATACAAAATGATCTGTGTCCTCTCCCCATCTGTCTGAAAGAGTATTGTAAGTTAATGTACGAAGATGTGATCAAATAATGCGTGACTTTGTTTAATCAAATGTCTGAAACAGAGGTGCAGCCAGAGATACCATAAATACTTTAAGACTTAAGGTTTTGTTTGACGATCACCAGGTACACACTCAACCTTACCGTCATTACCGCACTCCCTAAAAAAACTTTGAATATATGATCTATTAAATGTATATTTTCAGTATTTTGCTTATTTATTTGGGGACTCTGTAGAACATGCAGTTCCCGTTACTCTCTGCTGGTGGTGCTATGATTGCAGTATTAACGCCTTGGTCCAACAGTTGACTGCGCTGGAACAACAATAATGTTTTTTGTGTGTTTGTTTGTTTTTTTACACATTATATAAAACACAGATATGAAGACAGTTGATTAGCCTCTGAAAATAATCAATCTGTCCTTGGTAAGCCATTGGTGACAAAGAACACATGAATAAATTAACTTTAACATTGTAAAAAATCCAAGGTAGAGAAGTAGATTCAAAAGTAATATAGTTATGATTATTTTCAGGAGTTTGTGTGGTACAGACACTTCTGGACAAGTTTTTTCTAAGCTTATTTTGAAGACAGTTAGCCTGAGTTAGCTCTCTCAATGCTACATAAGCTTGGTAAGCTAACTAAACTTGTTTCTGATGGTGTTATATTCCAAAATCTCACACTCTTCTCAAATGAAATTTTTTTTTTCAGCCCTCAATATGGGACGATTTAATTTGCAATTTCCTTTAAGCAAAGTCAGAAAATCATCAAGTTCAAGTTCTCGTTTTCATTTGGACAATTTTAACTCCTTTTGGCTAATAAATAGTTATGTTGTGCCACGTTGCACATTATTATTATAATGCAATGATAATACAGAATTATTGCATTATTTTTCATTACAATTTTGGCTACTGTTTTTCTGACAGTTTTAACTTTTAATATTCTGGTCTTATAATTAATCTCCCTTTTTTGTTCAATTATCTAACCTGTAACAGTAACTACATTAGAAGAGATAACAGAGAGATGTAGGCAAGATATTTTTGAAAGAAGAGCGCCGTTACCACGTTGTATTTATTCAGATGTTAACTTTATATTGTACTTGAGGAAATAAAAGACCTCCCAGAGGATATAGAGTCCCACTTACAATTACTATTTTGAAAGCACTTCACCTTTGGCTTTTGGTTTTCATACCCTTGGTGCAGTATGTTTCATTTTCATTTTTTTGATATACATATTTTAGCTATTCTCCCAAATGGTCTGCACAAAGAAAACTGTCATCTTTTTTGGGGGGGAGGTCTAGTTCTTTTGTCTTGCTTTCTGCTAACCCTGTAAAGATTTTTACCGAATTAAGTCTGATGGGCTTTATATCCAGCGCCATGAAACCATGATTTTGTTACAAACGATTTATTTTTGTACTTTCAGAGTGTTTTTATGCAATACTGCTGAAATACAGTATGTACTATTACAAATCAAAGGCTTTATTCTCTCCTGAGAGGAGCTCTCCACCGTCACTGCTGCCATGTGTGGTGACTCAAAAGTGCTTTCAGTGTCTGTCTGTATTTACCGTCCTATTTTGTGACAGTAATGACTGCGGTGAATGCTGCAAACACACTCTAGGAGGGGCTAATACAGTCCATACTGTGCTTGTACACTGGAAACACTAAATCTCAAGAAAACTGCCTATTTTTGTTTTTTCATTTGCCCCGTGGTTACTGACATTGGTTACATTATCACACACACACACACACACACACCTATACACATATATATGGTATATACAAACAGTTTACTTTAGCTGACAGGAGCAGAGTTTAATTGCCTGCTGTACTGCTTGACTGAGAACATGCGATGATCTCCTGGCTCTCCTCTCCTTGATGTGACCTCATCATATTCACTATTCCAGTTTTGCCCACTTTTGTAAATCTTGTTCTCCAGCGGCATCGGCATAAACAAACAAACAAAAAACAAAAGCATGTTTCATGAAATGGATGTAAAGAAGAAGAAAAAAAAAAGCACAGCCGAAAAGGGTCCAATCATCAGTGTCCTGTATTTTTCTAATGTAAAAAAAACACTATATGTTCATATATGTATAAGTGTAAAAAAAAGATGGGTATGATTTTGAATTAATATGTGTATTGCCCAATAATAATTGACCAATCGTGTGGTGTTGTGTGCAAGAGACCGTGTTTAAGTGTGTGAAACTGTAAAGCTGGATTTACAGAGGAAGTCTAATTTTTTTTTTTTATAAATATTCCAGATGTAACGATGAGATTCGAACCACATAGATGAGAAATATCTATATCCTGTCTAAATCCAGTGTGAGCGACTGTGAAGGTTCACTGCACTGCTCTACATTTTTATGTGCAATTTTTGAGATGTGAGAAAAAATATATATGTGCAAAAAAAAACAACCACAGATTCTCTATGTGCCAGATAAAATAAATAATGTACAATGAACTGAATAAAATTTGCATAAAAGGCTTTTTTTTTAAAGGAAAGTTATTTTTGGTGTACTCAGAAATTCAGAAACACGTTCCGTATCACCACAACATCCAAATTTATTAATCAATATAGAATACATTTCTATGTACAGATGCAAACAAAGGCATTAAATACAGTACATGTAATGAGTTGGATCACTGTAACCAGTCCCTGTCTTCTCCATTAAGCACATTCTCCAGGTTCTGCTTGTTTCTCAGGCTGTGGAGGAGCAGCTCAAGTGTCCTGATGACCGGCTGGATCCCGCCACTACTCAGAGACCCGACGCTGCTGTGCCTCTTCCCAAAGCGCCCAATGGGTCTCACCCCACGTCCCACGTACCAGAAAGGATCAATCTCTGGACCTGGGCCACACACAAGTACATAATTCAATATTGTCACATCTGTAAGTTGTAGAATTTTTCTGTAAGGAAAACATACTGCAAACCTCAATTGCTTGGAAAATAACATTAAAAAGGAAAGAAAAAGAGAAAAACAACAATTACATTCTCATGTATTTGTCAAGTAATTTAGTAAAAAATGTTTGACTTGGTAAACATTGATTTTGACAGTTTAAGCTATTTAAAAATATGATTAATTGTGAGCAAGAAATTTTCTGAGACATTTCATATATTGATTTGTTTTACTTTATATTCATACATTATATATAACTTAATGTGATAATATATCCTTGAATGAAAATAGTCCAGTAAAATAGAGAAAAAACATAATTTGCACAATGTATGGTATCTTAAAATGTTAAAATAAAGTGCACAGTATATTAATTATTACAAGATGAATAAAGAACAGGTTTAAATGTGATTTTATTCCGTTAAGAGAATCTATCTATATTAATTTGTAGTTCAAAAAGGGTGTTCTAATTAGAAAAAATCAACAGTCAAAAAGTGTTAGCTTTAGTAATAATTACATTTTTAACTTAAATTTTCTCAATTAGATTCATGTCTCAAAAAACACAATTTCAAAATCACCTTAAATTCAAATTCTTACTTCTGTTGTCTACATTGTGCACAATTTGGAAGTCGTGCTCCACTGTGGTGCTGTAGGCACTGCTGAAGCTGCAGGAGATGAGGAGGAGAAGCACCAGGGCTGAGGGCACCCAGCGGCTGGTCAGGACCCAGTGCTGGACATCAGCCGCTCTGCCAGGGAGCATGCTGTGTTGGTCAACAAGGCACTGGAGAGGATGAAGGGAGGCGGCTCGGACTTAGAGATCCTAGAGAGACAGCAAACAATCAATTTAGGGAACATATTTGTTTTTAAAAGAAAATAAAATTAAATAAATTAAAATATAAATTTTAAAAATCACACTTTATACATGTCAGTAGTAACATACAAATAATCCACTCTGGTTATCTGGGCATTAAAAAAAAACTTCCCCCTAATGAACAAAAGCACAATGTCCAAAAAACAATGTCTTACCCTAAACTTTGGTGAGGGGCTGAGTCGAGTTGGCGGAGGTCTGGAGTCTTCTCTCTTCTGCAGGTGTGCGGCAGCCTTTATATCCTCGCGTCCCCTCAGGATGTTTGAATGATGAATGGAGAACGTCAGTCACACAGTGATCCCACCCTACAGGATGCATCAACTCCCCTCCGTGCACCTCACCTCATCTTCCTCCTCCTCCTCCTCCTACTTTTCAAACCCATTCACCTCTTTGACGGGGGAGGGTGTGCTTTTAGGAGTTTTCCTCCTATGTCACGCATCAGAGTAGTCCATCAGCCAGCCATGACACACGGATGACTTGAAATTTAGTGAAGATGGGGAGACCCACCAGCTTGAGTAGGTCTGTCAGACAATGGCCGTGGTGGGTGGTTTTTGATGAGTCTTTCATCATTCTGCTTGATTACCAGGGACCCAGCAGGAGCCAATCAGCTCCTGCCAAAACCAAAAGGAAGCCTCGATACCAGTGACACGTTTTTGGAACTTTTACCCTTTAATGAAAATCAACTCTTTTCTACTTCATGTATTTGATTTTTATGAAGTATAAAAAGAGCACAAAACAATGTAACTTGGATAATTTGTGATCACCATAATCATACCATTAACTCTAATGAGAAGTAGTGTCCGTTAAGGTCTTGTCTGTCATCCATAAGTGAGACAAATGAATCATAAGTGAAAGGTTACAATGTGACATTTTTTTTCTTTAAAAAATGTGCATTCAGAATTTTTCCATATTTGTTGCTATTTAAAAATATATATATAGTTTTTACAAGCAATTAAAAATATTTTGTGCAATTTATCAGTATGTCAGCAAAGCTGTATGTTAGTCAACTTTACAACAAATAATTATTAGCCAAACGAAGGTCATCATCAAAAGTCATAAATTAACTTAATCAATCATACCTTTGTTCAAGCACAGAAAAAGAAAACTTCCCAAAAGTAAGGTAAAAAAATAGCCAAGAACATTATTACATTTCACTGGAAATTAGTATTATTAATTGCCTCAAGATACATTTAGTATTTCACACCAGAAGAAAAGGATCTGTAAAAAGGTTAATTTCCAACTCCACTCTGCGTTCGTGTGTGTGAGACCATGTTCAGAGTGTCTCCATGGGGCAGCAGCTTGTTTTTTTCCCCCATATTTGAATGCAGCCAGTATTTGTCAAAGATTGTGATCTTTTACTTTTACAAATGCAGGAGAACTCCCCTAAGACATGTAATCACAACACAATATGCAATGACCATGATTATAATGATATAAAGCATAATAACAACAAGACAGATTAGATTCATGACAGGAAATCCTTATTTGACAATGAAGTTCCAGGGTTGATGAGTAAGTTGGAGAACAAACTCAGGAAGTCTAGGCTTGTCACGAATGCTGCATTCTAGAGAGCAATGGTTTCATCAGCTTCTGATTGAATGACATCACCCTTCCTGTATCATTTAGGTTTCTGTGAATGGAGATACAGACAATTGCCTGACAAGGCGCAGCATGTGGTGCCTGCTGACTTCCTGCCTTAGTAACAGCGCTGGACCCAGCGTTTATTCATCACTGAAGCCAGACTTTATATCCAGTGAAGTAAAAATAGATGAAAAAAAAAATAGAATCACCTTTTTTTTTCTTAGAATCAATTTGGCTATTTTTTAGGTGAAGGATTTTTTTCTCTCTCTCTTTTTTTTCTGGATTTCTCCTTCTTCTTCCAGAATAGTAGACCCAGCAGAGGTCTACTCTCTTCTTGTCTTCTGGTCTCTGTCTCTGTATTAAAGCCTTCATCATTCAGTAAATAGAATAACAATATGAATGGAGATGGTGGAGGAGATTCCCTGTACCTAACAGGACATGTGAGTCCAGAGAATTGTTGTGGTATTGATTGAGAAAACCCTGCAAACAGACTGATTAATAGCCCGGCCCAGACGTGCTGTATGGTCTAAATCATTCCCTCTTTAGTGCTACAGTATATTTTGTTAATGGCCTTGCAATCCGTGACCGACTCAGTGTGTGGGCTAAGACATTCAGGTGCTATGTTTGATTTTAGCATCTCTCCCAAAAACAACAACAAAACCGCTTAAAGTGGGAAATCATCCACTGTAGATAGTAATAAATAAAAATCCAACTAAGATTTGTCGCACAAACAACACTGCAGACCAAACAGCTGAAGTGGCTTCTTCTTCTTCTCTTTCTTCTTCCTCTATTTCTTCTTATTATTTTTAGGCTTCTAATAATGCAGCTAAGAAAAATATGTAATCTACATCTGACATTGAGACCCAGTGGCCTAATGGATAAGGCATCAGCCTCTGTAGCTGGGATTGTGGGTTCAAGTCCCACCTGGTTTTGATTACTCTTAGTCCTTTAAGCAGAACTGTACATGACCTCCTATGAAATTCCTTTTTTTCAGGATTATTAAATGTACAAATGTACATTTAATAATCCTGAAAAAAAGGAATTTCATATGTACAGATTTTATGATAATGAAATAATGATGTTCACATATCCATGACATATTAGATGAGGAATCACAAATCATTGCCTTAAGACATAAAAGTGCAAAAATAATCCTTAAGTATTAACAAGGCAGAGTCTTAGATCACAAAAAGCAGCTCCATCTTCCAGAAGAGTCAGCACACTCAAGTATCAGTTGACTTGCTCAACTGCAAATGGTTGTTGGGGAAAATATGCAACCTGCATCTTTCACAGTGCTCCTTAATCCAAAAGCAGAAATAATAATAATAATGAAAAGAGAAAACATAACTACTGCCATCTTGTGGTAAAATATGTGCAAATGAAGAAAGAGAAATGTGATTTAAAAGATGAACTAGTAAAATAGAAAAAATTCGAAAACGTCTCAAATTAAATTTTTATAGAATATATACTTTTTTAAGGGAATGAAAATTGTACTATTTAAACTCAACATTTAGTCTCATGACTCATGGGTGCAAAGTCTCGTTGCCTGCTAACATATTTTGCAGCTGTTTTTATGATAATTTACTCACATTTCTTATTTTAGTCTGACATTTAACTGGAAGATTTGATCTAAAAATAATAACAAAGTAGGGTAAAGGTCTTGCATGAGTGATTAAGCTGCTATGACAATATTTGGTCACTAGATGTCACGTTACGATATAAACTGCAGTCGCCCGCCTGCTATAGACCAATGCGCACTGCTGGGAAAAATATAACGTGTCGCTCCTTGTTACGAGTAATAACTGCCATTGTTTTTGTAATGAAAAATGTTGCACAGAAAACCCGCTTTTGTGAAAAGCAATGGGGAGGAAACTCAAATTATAGAAAGGTGTCTGGTGAAAGCGGAAGTAGAAGGAAACGAACACTCTTGTTTTTTAAGCTGCTTCACGCAGTCGCAAACGCACTTGCTTCCTGTTGACAGTGGGGATAAACAAGAGAAGATGTAAGAGTTTTCCAAAAAGGCAGCTAAAAGGGGCAGCGAATTTTACGGTGTGGAATAACTAAACGTCGTGTGTTTTGTAGGTTATTTGGACTTTAACTAAATCTATGTGTATGCTGAGTTTTGAGTGTTCGTCGTCTTCATGAGTGCTTTGACAGTATGTCGCTGAGTTCCGGCGGTTGGACTCAAACTGCTGCCCTGTCACCGGACCAGTCCTCTGTTGCTCTACCCTCTGACTATGGGGCGTCACAGTCACAGCTCGACTGCCAAACAGTGCTCATTTCGGTTCGGGTGTCGGTGTGCCATTCTGGTATTCGACCGCTGTGTCTTCCCGGAGCAGGTGATGAGTCACTCCGCCTGCAGCTCAGCATGGACCCGGGGAAATCCGGGGAATTCCGACTGTCGCTCCAGGATTGTAGTGAGAGTGGCCGGAGTGTGGTGAGTGTAATGGACACAGCACTGCTATAGTGACTTACTGTGTACGATATATCCCCTAATTCTTTTACCCCAAGTCTCCAAGCCCTTCCACTAAATTCTAAGCTTTTGATGAATTAGACTGACAAATTAAAAAAAACTCCCACAGTAAAGCAAATATAGTAATTCATCTATTATTTTTCTGTATGCGAAATTTTGATTGTGTGAGTGCTGAGATTGCCTCCACTATCATTAATATGATTAATATAATTTCTATAACAGAATTGTCGACAACGCATGCACCATTTAAGAAAAATGTCACATGAAGTAGATTAAAAGAAAAGTGAAATATCAATTTATATATAATTCACATGCTCTGTGTGAAACCTGGGCCTGTTTAGTTGAACACAATGCTGATATACTTGCATCAATAGAAAAAAGACCCACATAGAAGTCCTTCAACAGCTCTAAGGCCCTCTATAAATTATATGAATAATAGCTGTCAGACCAGTTACGTAAAATTGGACTTTCCTATATATACTGTACATCATATCTGATGATCTGCCAAGGCACAGTGTTCAGAAATCACCTCTATAAAGATGTGAGCACATGCAGTACACATTGTTGAAATTGCTATTGATTCCTTAAGGTTTAACATCACATTGTATCAGTGTTCTTATCTGTATGTTCAAGTTTGCTGGAAAAAAGTGAACATCTTCACGAAACAAGACAAAGTGAATCATATATATCCGGTCCTGATTCGTTGCTTCTTCCTGTTTTCCTCCTACCTCTTTTTATCATACTCTCACTTTCTCTTCCCCGTTTCCACCAGACGGTTGCAGAGTTTAATTTGAAGATGGTAAAGTATGAAGTGAAGTCACCGAAGTGTCATGAACTGAGTTTGGCCACACCTCCTCATGACCGGATCAGCTTCAACTTCCGCTGTGAGCGAGAGGCTCACGAATGGGCCACTGTGATGATGTCATCATTGAGAGAAGCACATAGAGGTCGGTGCCTAAAGTGTTTTATATTTTCCATACAGTTTCACATAATTATGAAGCAAGCTCAATAATCAGTAAGAATAAAGCATTTTGTCCAAACTGAGAGAATTCAGACCGTTAAGCCTAGACTCCATGACATTTATTAATTTTATTACAAATATTTTTGTATTTCTGCCTGTGATAAATTCAATTGACTGCACAATTGCAAGTAAAATAAAAATGGTTTAACTCGTATTTTCAAAGCAATGACTAAAAAAGTTGAAAGAAATCCATACAGGAAAATAAACAGATAAAAAAGACCACCCGTTTTTTAAGGATTTTTATTCAAGGACAGGCATAACTGACTTAAATGACATCACCAAGAGTGTAGATAAGTGGTCAAATCAAAGTGTTGCTTTAAAAGCATTCCACCATCTCCCACACACCAACATCACCAATACATTTGTATGCTTTTTTGTGTTTCATTACTACATAAAATTGAGACAGAAGATAA